TCCGGCTCGACCGATTCCTAAACTAACTTTTGATCCACGGCGCGCACCGATGCCTGGGTCTGTTCGCGACTCCACCTCGACCGATCCCACGGCGCGCATCGACGCCAAAGATCAGTGAGCTCTGTCGCATCCGAACCGAGCTATCTCCATCCGTGGCGCGCACCGACGCCAGGGTTCGTCCCGAACTAACCTTCTCACCCGATCCACGGCACGCACCGACGCCGGGATCAGTAAGTTCTGTCTCATCCCCGCGCCTAAAACCGCCTCGGCTGCGCAACGACGCCGTGGTTAACAAAATTCCGTTTCAAACTAAAAACACGCACGCCCGCTGAAACAACACCCCCTAAACGGTTCTGTCCGAACCGCCCGGGGGCTCAGGGGCTACACCCGCGGCCGACAAGACAAAAAAACCCCCCGGATGATTCTGCTCAAATCGCCCGGGGACTCGGGGGCTCCTGTCGGGTTCATAAACCCGGGGTCCATCGGGGACCGGCTTCCACGCCAGGGCTCGGCCCAGAAAAACAGCATGTAGTTCATGGGCCGGCCTAAGAGTCTAAAACACAACGGGTCGGAAGGACAGTCCAGTCGCTGACCGGAAGGTCTACCCAAAGGAACAAACACCCGCTCGTCAATTTCTTCGGCCCACCTCTCCGACTAGAGCACTTGCTTCAGGCACCAGCCGCCTCCGGGAGGTCTCTCCGATCGGAAGGCCTGGCCCAAAACGCTGTTTCCTACTCTGACCTCGCGTCTCCGACCGGGGACCCGTAGGAAGCCTGCTTACCGCTCTTCTCCGACTGGCGCGACCAGGACCGACTGGGGCCATCCAACCGGGGACGCCTGCTCGGAAGAAACCAGGGGCAAACGGAAAAGGCAGCACATAAGTCAAACCACGATACCAGGGACCATACCCTGTACGCCTGCGGGAACAATGCTCCACAACCGCCCTGACACAAACAGTATTGTAGGCGCCGACATTTGTATTTACAGTATTGTAGGCGCCGTTGGACTCCCATACGGCAAAAACCTCCCCACATGCCTCTGGACATCGATAGTACTGTGGGCACCAGGATTCACCATACTTGGTACACATGGTAGGGCTCCTCACATACCAACACTATTTTGCAGGTACCGACATCTACCCTTTCTGAAGAAGGCAACGCAACCTCCCATGTGCACCTGACGTTCTATAGTGACATCAACAGCATTATGGGGCGCCTACCATTATTGTTGTCCTCATCGACGTAGGCAACAAGGCTTAGTAACATCCGTACTCTCTCCCTCTCGCCTGTAAAGCCATCCCCTTCATCTATAAAAGGGGAGTCCAACTTAGAGGTCGACTTCTTCAAGTTGAGATTCATTAGATCGATAGCTCACAACCCTTCAAGCACACGCTTAAACACCTAGTTCATAACGGAGTTCCGGTCGCCCTCGGCACTTCTGGTCGGACCCGACCGGGCCTCTCGTACACCCTACCTTTCTTCTTTCCGTTTGTAACCCCACTACAGACTTCGAGCACCTGGGCTCAGGAATAAAGTCACCGACAGACCCAAACTGGACGTAGGGCATGTTTCTGTACCAGTATAAATCCTGTGTCATTGAGTGCTAGGCCACATCCGATCACAACGTACAGTAAAATTATAAATATTCACTAGTTGATTACCTCGTGTAAGTATATATCGTCAATCGTCTTTGCGAAGGATGCGTGAAGTAGGCTAGCAGCTGTGCTCCCCACCAGACTCACGTCGCCTCGCCGACCTGGCAGCCCCTTTGCACGCTGCTGCAGCTGCTAGCCTTGCGTCTGCAGTTTGCTGCTGGCTGGCTGCTCGGGTGCTGCTGCTGCCAGGTTGGTGACGACGGTGCAAAGGGGCGAGCAGGAGTGGAAGTTGGGCGAAAGCCTCCAGCGAGTCAGTGGTCGAGTCCAAGAACACAATAGAGAGAGCAGGTCTCCGACGAAGTTGGCTCAAAAAGCCGACTTTCTAGCTTTAATCTTATTGCTATTAACTTTTATAATAATATTTTAGTTTCTCAGCACACCAAAAGTCAGAAAAGCTCCCCTCAACATACTTTTCAAATTTTTGTAAATTTTCTCAGAAACCAGCTTCCTAGCTTTTCGAAAGCACTTCAGTTGTTTGTTTCAGTTTCTGGCTGACAGAAACCAGGGAAAAAAACTGAAAGCATATACTACTCATGCATTAATATAGCTAGCTAGACTTTTTCAACAGACTAATAAGAAGAATACTATAAAGATCTAAATTAACCTTCGTTCAGCATTGCCTGCCAAATTTAAAAAGAAACATACAAGCAGCCCAATTAAAAAGGAAACTTGTATGCGTGAGCATGGCAGAGATGAGCGGTTCAGATTCTCTAAGCGCGTGATTGGTTGTAGAGCAAGCCTCGAGCCAGGATGGCTAAGCTGTGTAGGACCAAAGAAGCCAGGTTGAGTTCGTGCAAGTGGTCATGTTTGGTTGTCTTTGTTGTTGGTTCAGTACGAGATAAGATCATGTTTGATTGTATGCATGTATCAAAGTTTTGGGTGTCTGACACATGGGCCCCTGCACCATGCGTGAATCAAGCCGTCCTGCATGGAGAGGGAAGTGAAAATTGAGAAGACGGAGGCATGCGGAATGGAGGAGGGCAGACGAACGAAAGGATGCAGGCGAAAGGTGCGAGCAGGGGAACCAAACACGGCCACAATGCACCGAGTGATACCGGATGGGCCTTCGAACGGCGCGAGCGGGGCAACCAATCACGCCCTAACTTATTGAAGGCAAGTCACCGGTGACTTACGCCATACCCGATGCCCTCCATTTCACATCCAATGGCTGATAGAAGAAGCAATTTTTCTACCCCAAATAGCAAAGCCCAGCTATGGTTCTGGCCCAAATATAGCCCAACTTGGGATTATTATATATGAAACAGAGAAATAACATATAGTTTTACTAAATATTTTCATAGCAGAATTAAACGGATATTTTACTAAATATTTTTAATGAGCAATACTATGATACTCTCTTTACTTACTAGGAGGTAGTACCTCAAATAAATCTAATCCGTTGATTTTTTATAGATTTTTTGAATTAATTATATTAATTAATCTATGAAAAGAAAAAGAGATATTGTCAAATCCTCCGAATCAGCGCCTTGTTTGCCGCACCTTTTCTTGTTCTCGCCTTTCCTTTTCAGTTCTGTGACTGTGACTGTGCATAAATATATTATCCTACTAAAATAACTAATAAAGCATACTCCCATCGTCCTGTAATATAGTGCATTCTAGCATTTAAAATTTATCCTCAAATATAATGCATTCTAGAGGACAAACACTAATTTTACATTAAATACTTTTCATTTATCAACCAATCACCATTAATCATGTTGATGATAGCGTCTGATTAGGAAATAAAATGAGGGTACATGCGTCTTTTATGTTATCTCTTAATATGTCTTAAAATTTCTAGAATGTACTATATTACAGGACATGAGGGAGTATATCTTGAATGCAAATTCAAACATCTATTTTTAATTCACATACTCAGTTTAAAAAATATGCTATATACATAAAAAAAATATCAACATCTAATTAACACGTTAACTGAATCATGAACGTCGACGATCTAAAACATATTACGCGCTAACATGTTACATAATCGAACATGAACGACGACAATCTAAAACATATTACGCGCTAACATGTTACATAATCGAACATGAACGTCGACGATCTAAAATATACATGTTATTAACATGTTACATAATTGAGTATGTGTGTTATGCTGACTCGATTAAAACTATGTTACATAATTGAGAGGTTCTTCTAATAAAATATAAGCTGTCATATATATTGAACACGTAAAATGGCCATGTAAAATATCATGTACGCACCCAAAGTTTTTTTTTTCTATGTCAGGTATTGGACACGTACGTATGTTCAGAAATTTATAAGACATAAACTTATAGTGGAGCAAAGCATCTAGTTTCGGATTTTCAATGAAACGATTAAAAAAATCTTTCATTTCCGTCAAAAAAATTTCCGCACATGGGCGAGGGCAGCCAACCTCGTGCGGCCATATTGGGCCAGAATCGCCGGTGCTGGGCTTTGTTATTGTAGTGGAAAAGTTGCTTTCTACTGTCAGCCGTTGGGTGTGGAATGTTGGGTGTGGAATGGAGGGCATCAGGCATGGGATAAGTCACCCGTGACTTACCTTCAGTAAGCTAGAGAATCTGAACCGAGAGATGAGGGGGTATTTTTCAGTCCAATGCTCATAGCACCCTGCACTCTAGAAACATCTGGCCATCCCTAATAAAGTGCTGAATAATAGAACCACCCCTATAGTGCCCAAACTAGTATATTACAATTAAATACTTGGGGAAATATAAGGAAATGTTATTAGTATTATTACTATTCTATACATCGAGTATCCACCTCAGTGGTTCAGATATAGCAGAAATGGTGCAAGAAATGAATGTGCCAACACCATCGGTGGTACCAGATTCATGAATAACAATGCTTCATGCATGTTCAGCTATACAGAATTCCCAGTTATCAGCACTTGGAACCTTGTTCGCCACAAAGAGAACCTACCTCAAAAGAATCTTATTGTCAGATTGTATTATCAATGATGTCCATCTATGCTTTCATCATTCCGTCCTCGAAATGGAATGAGTTATGGTACCAAGACCAATACCCTAGCACTTCACCATTTGTAGCCATGCTACGCAAAGTCACTAACTTGACCAAAGAGTTGACAAGGACATGGTCTCGCTGAGAAATCAGCAGACATTTTCCATGGCAACAAATCGCCTATACGACTGCCACAAAAATGAACAGCAGTAAACGGCAAGGAACAGAAAACCGCAAAAATTGCGTCTCTCGTCTCAGTTCCATGTAGTACCTGCTGAGTGCTCTAAGATTGAAGTGCGAGGAGTGAGCTTCGCATGCATTTACTCAGAATCCATGGTGTCCTCTATAACCTCTCTGCCTGATAAGATATTGTCACATGCATTTACTCAGAATCCTCGGTGTCCTCTACAACCTCTCTGACTGTTAAGATATCATCACGTGGATGAGCTGTTTCCACAGTAACACTAACTTCATCTCCCACTTTCCCACGTGAAATTGTCGTTGTAACTTGTATCCCAACCTGTAAGTGGCATTAGCTATTAGCATTGGAAGAACGATACTCATGAGAGGAAAATGGAAAACAAACGGAGACAGGCTACAGCTATTCGCTCTGATTCACAATACAACCAGCAGAACTAATAGCTCGGTTAACCATCGCTGTAAGTAAAAACCATAGTTTTCCTAGAACTGTCCAGAAGCTCTCGAACTCAAGAGCATCCAAGGTGACCTAGGACTCCAACTGGAAGAGGTTAACCAACCTCCCCCACTGACCATCCATTGGCTATCTTTATTATTGGTTCTAATGGGAGAAGGGCATCATTTGCTTCTCTTTAGCCAGTTTCAAAAAGTTTGGCTAGAATTACTTGCTTAAGTAGTTACCAAAAACTATGAAGTGCAAAATCCATACAATCAGAATCAGAATCAGACTGAAGTAAACAATGGCAGTAGTGGTTCAATTATGTACAATGGCAGAATCTGACTGACTACCACTAACAGGTATAGCATGTCCTTTTCCCCCTATTTCACAGCATGTGTTTTTGGTCACCACATTCAGAAGGTAGAACCAAGTTTTTCTTATTTAAAATGGGGAAGGAATCAATTTGGTTCGTACGCGCTACAAATTTGCCAGAAACCAGTCAGCAACAAAGTTCTTGGAATTAAAGAAAAGACCACAAATCGACCAGAAGTGGCATACATCATCTGGGATCAGCCAGACTGGTAAACCCAGAGCAATTTAGGACAACGGTTATTTGGAGCATATACTGCTCCAAATACTATATTGGTGAAGGCAAAAAATAGTTTTATATGAAAACCTGAAACAGCAAGTAAAAACTTATCATAAGGAGAACGTCAGTTCACCTCCACCAAAAGCAGAGCTCCCATACGATCCTTGATAAACTTCAGAATCAGTGCTCTGTACTTCCTCCCCTTTGGTTGTCGCCTCAAGTATTCCAACAGCCAGTACCGCAAGCTGTTGCTATGAAGCCTCCTAGCTACTTTAACATGCATGCTCGCAATAAATGTCATTCCTTCTAGATCACCAGCTGAATATGGTGGAGAATCACCTCTAAGAAAAGCTTTTACCTACAATTTAGTTCCCCATAATATTTGAAATTAAGTCAAACTGTTGATATATTCTTTGGATCAAGGTACAATGATTAAATAATGAATTTGATGACACTATCAGAAAGCTGGAGACATCAAAGTAAAAATGCACAATTTCCAAATTTCTTGCATGCTATAAAACTTTTCCTGATTTATAAGCATATTTACCTGATAATGAGCTAGCAGATCAACATATCTTCGAATAGGAGAGGTGAACTGCACATAACCAGGAATACCAAGTACACCATGTGGTACAGGTTTTTGAAAATCCATTTCTGCAGCACGGAGCACACTGATATTGGCAAAGCTCCTTGCAGGCCCCTCAGGTAGATGAGAGAACACTGACACTGCTGTGTTGGACTGGGGGTGGCCTCTATATGGCAAAGGGAGGTTGTTGTCAGAACCAAAAGCAGCCACTGCCTCGCCACAAAGTATCATCATTTCAGATACAAGCTGCATTGCTGGATTGGCTTGATCTTCAACATATAGATTGATATTTGGTTCAGGATCATCAGGATTTGACACCTTGATACGTGGCTCTATCATCGCAGTGTCTATTGAACCCTGCAGGATTAAAAGTTAACTTTAGGGGAAACAAAATGCAGCAAGTGGTTTCCAGAAATACAAACTTTTGACAAAAGTGGCATTACAGGCTGAAGTGAGAACCAAAATAAGAAAATAAATACTGCTGATGGACAATGGAAAATATCCAGCAAATTTTAGGAATCTACTTTCTAATATACCTTATTGTCAGCTGGTGAAATGTGTAAGAGTAAAATTTGGTTTGTTTTCCCCAAGAAACATGCAGGGGATTGTCCAAACAGCATCTACGTCATGTTAAAGTGTTATTGTTCCCAGATTTATAAGTACATTGAGTGGTGCTTTCATTTGCATGCCATAAGTGACCTGTGCAATGATGCATTATAGATCAGTAGAAAAGCCGATTTTGCACATACCTGGCTATGACGCCACTGTGCACGAATGGAAGCAGCTTCTTGAAGAATCCTTAGTTCTTCCTCTTCTTCCAGGTTCATGTAAAGCAATTCAGTTGCACTCTCATATGTCAACATATAGGTAGGTTTGATGATTGAATTCTCTAGAGTATATTCTGCAATACTATTCACAGCACAAATGGAATGTGGAATGTCAATGAATGTGATACACTCTTAAGAAATTCCTCTTAAAAAACAAAGAAAAGCCAATCTCACGGGAAACAAGAAAGAAAAGAACTGACTCAGAAATCAGCGAGGGGAGGGGTTGTTATGTGGAAAATTACCTCCCATCTGGGTTTAAAATAACAGATACGGTTACAGATTTGCATTCTTTACCCTGCTGCAAGCTCATAGCATTCATGGCAAGCCTCTCTGGGAACATCGGAATGGTAGCAGTTGGTAGAAAGATTGAGGTTCCTCTGTGCATTGCCTCCCTGTCGACAAGAGACATGGTTTTGTAACAAATACCAAATATAGTGATAGAAAGGATAGAACAGAAGATCAGCAATGACCTATCAATGATGCTACGAGGTTTGACCAAGCATGTTGGGTCAGCAACATGTATCCAGACCTTTATCCTACCATCAGGAAGCCTAGTTGCGCTCAATGCATCATCAAGCTGAGTCAGCAAGAATTCCAAATGTTTAATAGATTTATTGGTGGTAACTAACAATTCATTCTCTGTGGAAAGATGCTATGGTAGAAGAAATAAAAGCATACTTCATCAGCCTCATCCACATCAATGGCATACACTTTCAAAGTTGAAAGATCCTTCCTGATATGCTGAAAAGATAAAATATCGAAATGAGGAAATGTATGTGTGCGTATATATAGTGGAAGCATCCAGTAGTAACTAACTATACCATGTCTGCATCAGGGCTGTCCACCAGAAGCTCCTCTGCAGCTGACAAAACTTCATCCGTGTACCTTATACAGACATCGTACCTGAAAAGGTCGAGATTGACATGCACAGGGAAGTATCCAACATTTATAAGGAGCTTTAGAGCAGCTGATGATGTCCTCGTGAATCCCATAGCTTTGAGAATCTTCCACCACATAAAAGGCCAATTTCACCAACATCAAAAGATGGAAAACTTAACAACTCCGTTCAATAAAGAATGGTGCTACCTTTGTCCAGAAAAGAATGCAATTCTAGGTGCATTCTTGGTTAAAGTGCCCAAAGTTTGACCAAATGTATAGGTAAAATTATTAATACTTATGATGCCAAAATATTATGAAAATATATCTCATGACAAATCATGCTTATTTAGTATTATAACTATTTATACTCTTTTTTATATATAGTTAGCCAAACTTGGGATATTTTAACTTGTTATTGTGCTAGAATTGCATTCTTTTCTGGACAGAGGGAGTATAAATTAAAAATTGTTTAGACTACAGACTTTTATGAATAAATTAATACTCATTAAGATAATTTTATTATAAATTAGGTTTCTCGTTTCTGGACATTCAACAGACCATCGTATTGTAAGCAAATTGAATACTTAAATACGATATTGAGTATGGTAAAAAAAAAAGATAGTGGGACCTGATGTATTACATTTCCTGCTAGTCTTCTTTGTTCGTCGTCACATGCATCAACTGCATATGCTTGAAGAGCCTCAATTTTTTGCCTGACTTTTTCTTCCACCAACCATGAAGTTTTAGGAGGCTTGGACTCCACAGGCAATTCTTTGGCAGACTTGAGTAAGTGGACAAATTCTTCCAGTTCCTTCTCAGCTGTCTCTTTAGCAAGCTTCCGTCGTAGGAGTTCCTCTACCTACTACCAGATAAAAGAAAATAAGTCTACCAACCAATGCAACAATGCAGACATTAAGCAATAATAGTAATTTAAGGAAATCTGCGGTCATTAAATATACATGTCAAAATATGTATGTAAAGAAACATGCCAGATTGCAATATTGGATGTTACATAGTAGATAGCACTCAATTGTGAAGCCAGACGAATAAGATGAAAACAAATATATGGCCTTGAAATATGTTTCTTCTAGGAAGAATTAGAGTCAGTATAGAATTGACTGCACTACAGGTGGCCCCACGGACATAAAACTCAAGTTATCACAAGATCAACTAGACACAGCCCCCTGAGATGATGCTACAATAAAAAGATGTGCCATCTTACTTGCCAAAATCATCTGAAATATTAACATGATGTTAGTCACACGTATATTTAGAAAATATACCTGAGCAGGTGAACGAGGTTGGTACATGGAGTAATCTCTGCTCTCTACCTTGACAAAATATACTACGTCCCTTGACAACAAGAGATGTGCACAGTAGCTTTCCAGAGACTCCTTGGTACCATACACTATCTGAGGACATCACAAGAACCAAATATGAGTAGGAAAGGAAAAAATTAGGAAATCAGAAAAAATTGGAGAACCTCTGACCTCTGCAAATTCCTCAACTGTTATTGATTTATCCTTCTCGGACAGCTCCATCCAAGCACATTCCAAAACAGTTGGGTCCTGTTCATAGATAATATGATCATCCTGAAGCACATTATACACATGTACATCTCATGCAGCAGTACTTACCAAAAGATCTTGCGTTTTCTCAAGAAACTCATCTATTCTTGAATAGTCAAAATTCATGATGCCAGGTACAACATATGTAACCTGCTGGGGCTTTATCGAAGACAAGATACCATTCTGTACAAAAGTAAAAGTCGTGTCAGTAGAGAATCCATAAGAACAACAATAATACATGTATGTTCAGGTATATATTAACTAAATTGGATAGTCTACTGGGACAAGTTATAGCTATCCATTCAAAAAGGACCTGATCAGTCACCATCCAGTTTTTCTTTCCATCAGGCCTTTCAACAACAGCAAGCAAAGATCTCTCAGAATCTTTCTGAAATTCAAGCAGCAATCCTTTCTGTAATGTTCTCTTGTCTATCTTATTGTCAGGCAATTCCTTTGTGCCCTGCAATCCTATCCTGAAGTAGAATAAGAAATTCTAACAGTAAGTTTCAGTGAGCTTTTATTGTTAGAAGAAATGAAATAGTGATAACAAATTTTAATAGCCATATGAATCATTTCAGAAATTACGATAAACATCTTGCAGAATGAAAGTAACAACAACAACAACAACAACAACATCTTTTCGGTCCCAAGCAAGTTGGGGTAGGCTAGAGTTGAAACCCAACAAGAGTCCCAAGTCACGGTTCAGGCACTTCAATTGCAGAATGAAAGTAAGAAGAGGAGAAAACACCATGTCATGGGCAGCATCATGGTATATTACCCACATAAAATGTCAGTGATATTGGATTGCTGAAGCCCTTCTAGTGGAGAGTTTTGTAATGTTGTTTCCAAGAATACCATGTCAGATAGAATGCAATGAAATATGGATGAAACAACCACCCTCAATGTATGGTTTCATTCTATTGTTACATACTCATTTAGCGTTAGAAGCCGAGCCAAGAGAGATTCATCTACGTTAAACTCAATTCTTCTCTCTCTTCTAAAAACATTGCCATGACATTAGAAATGCTTATGTGGCAACCTATTAAATACAGATGAAACTTGGATAAAACTCCCGCTGAGACTGGCTAAATTACCTCATTTTAAGCCCAGCTACTGACATACATCGTTACATGCTTTCTGGAATTCTGTCATGGACATAATTATAGAAATAATAATGCCCATTGCATAATTTTTTTAAGTAAACCCAAGACTAGTCCCATTATGATGCAATAGTTGACCACAAGTTCCTCATGGACCAACGGACGGCGGGAAATCACAGTGCGAAGCCACTCATAATGCAAAAGGTCAAATGCCCTGACAGAAATTCAGGGGTTCAGACATTGCCCTACCAAAGTTAATTCAGCTGTTTCAGTGTTCAAATAAAGCACTGACAGTTCGATAAGCTATGTATCTGGAAAAGCCAAAACATCTTATAATTTGGGATAGAGGAAGTAGTTCAGTGGAATTCAGTACGTAGCGTCACAAGCACCCGCATACATGCAGCTCAAGCAATGCACTGGCTCCAGATATAGTACCAGCGATATACGGAGAGTTTTAAGTGTGCAGGGAGAATTACTTTGCCGAGACCCGGACGCGCCGGCGGGAGCGGAGCTCGTCCAGAACGGAGTCCACGATACTATGCGCCAGGCGGCTCTGGCAGCCGCCATGGAGGCCAGAGGAGCACCCTCCAGCGAAAGCGGCGGCTGGGCGGACGGCGCGTCGGAGGGGGTGGAGACGGAAGAAGGCGAGCGCCGCCGAGGAGCAGCCGCCCGCTGCCCGCGCCGCCATGGGCGAGGGCCCCATGGACCCGCTACGAATGGCAGTTGGGGGGAGACCGGTAGGGTTTAGTTCGCCGGCCACGCAATCTCCGCCTCTCGGGTGAGGTTTTGGCTGGCGATAAGAGACGACGAGCTCCCGCGGCCGCGAGTGGAAAGGCGACGCTGAAGTGGGGGATGAGTCACTTCCATCTGACGCGAATTACTGACATGTGGGTCCGATTGCTTATGGGGCCGTCATGTCAGAAACCCACGACAGAGAGAGAAGTGTCCTGGCGTCCTGCGACTCGGCTATTTCTACGTGGGCCTTAAGGATGGTTTTTTACATGGGCCTGATGCCTTGGAGTCGCGTGGCCTTTCCGATCCGCTCGTGTTTGGGCTTAGCGGGAAGCGGCCATATATGGTTCGTAACTCCGTATCTCGTGAAGCGCCTGCACAAGGAGTGGTTATGTATTTTTCAACAAAGAGAATGAGAGATAATGGCACGAGACTACCTTAACTTTGGTCAGATAAAACTGCGGTTGTGAGATGTTGTGTGATTTCTACATTTTTGCATAGCAATGTATGAGTATTTAACTAGTAAAAAAAAACTCCAATGTCTGCGTCTATCGCACGCGTTTCAGGCGATGGTCTGACAGTGGGAGAGTGTTAAACTGTTAAATATCAATCACATGATGAAAGTATCATTGACCACTAGCTACAGGTCCATCCATCAACCCTGAATTCCTGATATGCGTAGTTACGTACTGGCAAAGCGTCTGGGCCTATTTGGTTCGTGACCAAAACGTGTCATGACATAGGTTAGTCATGTTATAGTTTTTCTAATAACTGTTTGATTTGCTACCACAATTACGACGTGCCACATTTTCGTAATATCATGTCCTATATGTTATAGATTTATTTTTTTGTCAAACTTTGCCACAAGTGTGGCTTCAATTTTGCTCGACAAACTTTCTCTGGCAGTCATGGTTTGCCGAAAATTAGGCGTGGTAAATTTTGATCGTCAACCAAACATGCCACGTCCTGTTCAGTCTTTCAGCAGATAAGTCATATTTCCATCATCAGGATACAAATAGTAGCACCTGCTGGTTGGTTTTCAAGCCGCGATCGATTCCTTTCAGCGTCTTCTGGATCCGAGCACGCACAGGCACATGTCCCTCTCGTCCCGTGGCAGCACATACAGTTGAGGATGCACTGCATGGCCATATCCGCAGCTCATTAATGCGAGAGCGATGCCCGAGCTCACTCGCTTTTAATTATGGCCAACACGCTGACGACCTTCTAGAAGCAAAACATGTGGTATCCTATCACGACGCCTGTATGGCAACGGGCAAAATGGCCCTGGCACGTAAGGATGGCAACGGGGATATAACCGTCGGTATCGCCGAAACGTTCTCTTCCCCGCTACGGAGAAATCATTTCATCTCCGTTAACTGTTTCGGGTATAGATTCTTACCCATCTCCATACCCGTCGGGCATCGGTCGGATAACAGATACCCGACGGGTACTGCATACCCGATAAACAAGGACACTTGGGGTCACAGCTTTGCAATCGGAGACGTTTCTTCTTCACCCGGGTATAAGTGTCGGAGTCTCGGAGATGCCGAGGAAAAGGAGCGAGGTTGCGAGGAGGACGAGCAAAGGTGGCAGAGAGACCTAACTGAGGAAGCGAGGGGCACGAGCGCTCGTAAAGCAAAAGCGTGCTTATCTTTCTTTGGCGGAGATGGTGAGGAAAAATTGAACTAGGGTTCCTAGAATACACAAACTATATATATGATTGTTCAGATTTGGGCCAAAATACCTATGTTAAGCTTTTTTGGGCCTAATACTCACATGACAGCTCAAATAGTCGGGTTCCCCAACGGTTAACGGGGACGGGTAAACAGGGAACGTTTCCGTACCCGCTATACCCATCGGGTATGGATTCTTACCTATTTAGATGCCCGTGGATAAAGATATCATTCCATCCCATCCCCTAATAGATCAAATACCCGTCGGGTATTCGGGCCGTTGCCATCTTTACTGGCACCCGCCGTGCCTCTACTGTGCGCCTGTGTGGCGGAGTGCCCGGACAAGGAAAAGGGGCCAAGAAGCAGACAGCGTCTCGGGCAGTACAGAAACAGTGTGAAATGCCGCGTCTTCTAGATGACTTGTTTTCACTAAATTAGAGCCACTTCTCACTGTATATACGCACTACACGTTCTGAGATCGAGTTCCTTGATGGCTGCACGCGCAAAACTTTTACTAACAGAGTAATTAACAGTAGTAACGTACTAGTAATATAGATTTGGACCTTTTTTAGGAAATAGACAATTCGGAATTAATGCATGCAGTCAACTGCTTAACACACTGGAGTACTGATGAAGCAATTGACCTGATGGATTCGAAATGTAGAGAGAAATAGATCGATCTGCAGTAGTATCAGGCTGAACCAGTGAAGTTTTTTGGGTTACATTCCTCGTAGTATGTCATGAGGCGCGGCGCCATGGCTCCGTTCGCTTCGCTGAAAAAACAAGCCAAAACACTGCTCCGGCTGATTTGTTGTGAGAGAAAAATACTATTCCGGTTGAAAAAACAAGTCGAAAAAGATAGATTATAAGAGAAGCGAACAGGGCCATTTTGGGTTGTACTCCGTATCCACTATCCACGCAGTAGGATCATACTCGTATATACATCGTCATATATATCAGACTATGTGAATATGTGATGGGCCATGCACTCCTCCCGGGAGATCCGAAGCTGCGCTGCATGCAAGCCAAGTCAAACGCGACATCTGCAGGGCAAGGAAGGAGCTCAGGTCAAGGCGCTACGCCGCCACCGCTACTCCACCCTCACCCAACCAAAAAGGACGCACTGCTCAAAGCTTTGTGCAGTACGAATGCAATGAACCTGGACGCTGTTTGGTGCGTCCTATTGTTTGTAGTAGTAGTATATACATATTCGACACCGGAACGGGGGTGCTTTGCCGCTAAGTACAATCGCTTGATGCATGGGCAGTGGTTACCAGTATTATTATTATATATAGGTCGGGTACGCATCAGCAGTGGTGTTGAGATGATATGACGATGTTTGGTTAGATGCATAACATAATGGTGCATGGAAACGTTTGTTTACTCGTCCGGGAGGTTTCCTGGGACGTGCATGGAGGTACGAGGCTGTTTCTGACCCTGATATATCAGGCTACTTTCGCTGGTCTCATGAGTCGTATCGTTTCAACGAAGAAGAATTAGTGTTTTTTTTCTCTACAGCAAATTAATAAATAGTATTTTTAATTATGATTTTTCAGCGAAACGAAGATGACCATAAACCAGGAAGTTGGATGGTAGTTGAGGTTTGGTGAGCTGAATTATACATGTAGGTTCGGAAATTGTGAAACATTCGTTCTCACTGTACTTACCGTGCACGTGCGGGCACGAATTGGTGCACGGGAGGGAGCTATTTTTTTGTCTGCATTGATCCGAAAAGAAAGGAAAGAAGAGGATTCCTGGGATGGATAGTGACGTGATAGCGACTTTTATCAACAACGTTGAGCTAAGAGAGAAAAAAACTCGATCTGCGGTGAGCAGACAGCCCTGTAGTTTTGCGCTAGGAAGAAAACCTCTCACGTAGACCGAACCCCCTCCGAACCCCATGTCTCGCCCTCACACAGGAGTCCGTAACCCTGTGAGTGAGCCGAAACCTTTTTACTTGTGCTTGGGACGCGGGACAGGCGAGGGAGGGGGAGGGGGGGTTTCTGCACAAACTGCGCATTACCACAGCTGTACCCGTGGCAGCCGGGAGTCAAACTCCCGACCGGGACCTTCCTACGACGGGGACGGAACCACTCGAACTAACGCTTGCTGCTAAGAGAGACGACAAAAATAGGAAGCAAATACACGACCCTCTAGTACGTACGCGCCCTCAAACGAAGTGCACAAATTTTGCATGTGGTTGACCAGTTTTATGGCCTTCATGCATGCCCTGGAGATTCTCTCTTATTGCCTGCATAAACAAAACAATTGTGTTGATCAGTTAAACAGAAGTACAGAACAAGCTGAAGTCAACGACCACGTAACTATAGTAGCTTTGGTTATTCAGGATGAACCACGCAACTTCTGCCGATGCAATGCGATGGAATGAGCAAATTAAATAATTGCGTCATATCGGTATCATTTTGTATAGTTTCCTCTAGGCTCTAGGTGATTGATCAAACCTTATCAACTTATCATGATTGATGCTATGATAATTATTAAATTAATCATCAGAAAATAATTAAGTAAACAAACAGCAAATAAGTTGCTGAAACTACAGGACGAGAGAGGGGCATGCATGACACAACATGAAGGTAACAAGGACTTTATAAGACGACGACAAACGCAACGCCGATAAAAATATCAGTTCAGGGATCATCCATCAATCACATACATTATTTAACTTATCTCGTCTCACAATTCACCGTGATGATCTGTCGTCGTGTACATTAATCGGTGTATTTTACGCGGTGGATCTAGCAGCGTCATGCCAGGATGTGAAGGGATGTAAATAAAGTAAATTGACGTTTGCCTGTGGACGGCGATGGCTGGCGCTGGCAAACATGATTTCTAACTTTCTCAGGTACGCATATCCCACTGGCCATTCAGCATTATTTGCCGTCGCTGTCGAAAGGAAAAGGGCACAATTACTCCATGCAGTTTTTTTTTTGTGTGTGCCAGATGCAATGGTCCGACAAACCCTCGACACTTTTGTGGTGAGAAACAATATATATATGTACTCTGCCTTGTCTATTTACACTGTTATATAGGTATAATTGTATTGTCATGTTTGAACATCCACTCAAGGCAGAGCTGAAGAATTTTTTGTCCCGACATAACAAGTTCATGTTGTCTCCAACCGCGTAGCTCAGATGATATAGTTTACTTGTGGTGGCCTGTCCACTAGGATTTAAATTTTCGAGACTTCGTCGTGGGCGCTTTCATTTTCTGTATTTATTTCAACATTTGAAGATGTATTATTTTAGAGTAGGTGACGTACTCATCGACAACGAGATAC